TTTTCAGGAGATGTGTTATTTTTTTTTTTAAGTACGGTACAATAATCTACATTTATTCAAATATAGTTAAGTTGTCTTATTCTGGAACATCATCATAACTCTCCAAATCCCGAATCCCATCCTGAATTTCTTGTGACTCTATTTCCTTTAGAACCATTGGCCCCAATCTCTCCTGTCGAGCACTAGAGCTCTCATGGGGCAGATGAGAAGGGCTGCTCGTCTTCTTTCCCGCTCTGCGCCGACATGCATGGGTTGTGAAGATGCGCTGCGTAGCCACGCCCGTCACTAGAGCTTATTTTCGGGGTGGGGCTTCTATTGCACAAATCCTTAGAAATCCTGCTAGGGCTTATTTTAGGGATAGGTCTTATTTTCGGGGAAACACGGTACGTGGGACAGCTGAGACGAACCTCGCAGACGTAACAGTGTGTGGAAGCAGCCAGGGACCAGAGATGTACCGTACGTTCATCTACATAAGGGCTAAAAGCAGGCAAAAGCGATCTGCGGGGTAAGACGTCAGGACAGTGGTCACCTTGAGGGGTTCTTTGCAGTGATTCACCAGGTGCATTTGTAACGTGCACTTTCCTCTAAGAAGGTCCAACAGCGGCTCTTTGACAAAGGGCAGCTGTGCCCACGGGGCTCTCTGCTCCTGCCCCCGCCCCGGCCCAGCCTCCTGCTCTGGCCGCGTGGGGAGGGGCCTCCTGGGTCTCTTCCATGGACCCTGACAATGATGGTGCCAGCTGCCTCCTTGGCGGCTGGTGGCCAGGATGCGGCAGGATTGGCATGTTGTCCCCCCCTGTGAGACCCCAGCCACCTAGCTGGGGGAGTTCTGTGCCAGGGCGAAGGCAGGGCCTCGGGGCTGCTAACCCCCCCACCCGCCGCCTCCTTGAACCTGGAGTCCAGTGTCCGGGAAGGGACATGGGGCGGGGGAGCTGTGGGAGGGGAGGGCCCTGGACGGGGACTGTGGCTCCATTGAGCCCTCGCAGGGGGCTGACCACAGACCCGGGACCCCTTCGTTCTCCGCTGGACCTGGCTGCACAGGTGAGGCCCCTCCTGCTGGGCCCGGGGGAGACCGACTGTGGGGCGATGGGCCCACAGACCCTCCCTGGGTTCTCCCCCGGCTCTGAGCATTGGAGGGTCCTGACCTGGCCTGACCTCAGGGGCTGCCCCACTCCCCGGTCAGTGGCCCCTGCCTCCTGCTTTGCGTCCCAGCCTGCAAATGGCTCTGGGGGGCTCTGGGCTTGCCTCCCCACCCCCACCAGGTGGGCTGCGCTCCGGGAGGAGGGGGCCTTGCATGCATTGGCTGCCTGTCCCCTGGCAATGATCCCTGCTGGGCCACTGCAGGTGGCCCTAGATGGGGGGCAGGCCAGGCACCCCTCCCTCGGTGGGGGGCTGCATCCCTCTCTGGGCGTCCCTGGGAGACTCAGGTCTGCCCCAGACCTGCCTGGACGCTGGGTGTTGGAGGAGGCCCTGGGCCTGCGTGTTGCCTGCCCAGCCCCAGCTTCCCTGACTGAGTCCCCAGGGGCAAGAACTCCTCTCCTGCTGCAGAGACAGTGTTTTTGTTGTTGTTTTTTTTAGACAGAGTCTTGCTTTGTTGCCCAGGCTACAGTGGCTGCCCTGGCGTCAGGCTAGCTCACAGCAACCTCAAACTCCTGGGCTCAAGCGATCCTCCTGCCTCAGCCTCCCGAGTAGCTGGGACTACAGGCACGCGCCACCATGCCCGGCGGGAATGGATTAGTGCCCTATATAAAGGGCTTGTGGGAGTGGGTTCCCTCTCATCCTGCTGTGCAAGGGAAGGCCCTCGCCGGTGCCAGCACCCCGATCTTGTACTTCCTGGTCTTCAGTACTGTGAGAAATACATTTCTGTACTTTATAAATTACCCAGTCTTAGTATTGTGTTAGAGCAGCACAAAAGCACTAAGGCAACTACTAACTAGCGAACAGTACCAATGACTGCTAAGCACCAAGCAATACTAAATAGCTACAGCACACACTACCCGCAGTCACCAGGCTACGCCAGGTCAGTGTGCCAAGCAGGAGCTTTGAGGCTGGCCCCACGAGGCAGGCCAGAGGACCTCAGGAACGGATGAGGCACTGGGCACAGAGAGGCCAAGCATCCTGCCCAAGGTCACATAGCAAGTAGGTGGTTTAGAAGGCCTTAGCCAAGCCAGAGTGACTTCCTTCCGGACAGAAGCCCAGGTCCCACCTTGGTGGTGGCCTGTGCTTTCTCTGCCCCCTCAGGTCAGGTCTATGCCCCTCTGTCCGTTGCCTTCTTGTTGCATCTGAGTCACTGGGGGGTAACAGCTGGTGGAGGGTGGCCAGCCAGGAGAAGTAACCAACAGTCAGGGCTGCTCCAGGGAGCAGGACCCAGGGAGGGCACAGGCCCCGCCCCCCTCGCCCCTCCCAGAGCCCCCAGGGCCCATTCAGGAGCTGTCTGTGGAGACACAGGCAGCCCCTTCCTTGCCTGGCTAGGGTTTCACCAGCCTCGGGAAAGAAGACCCAGCTAAAATTAACCGTTGTCAAGCTGTCAGCCCTGGAAATAAACCTGCCTCCCATTGGCTGCCGGTGACGTCACTGCCGGGTTAATAATAGCTGCGTGTGCATAACCAACCACCTGTGCATGTGCCCCGCCGCCGGGCCACAGCCAGGCCGCCACCCTGGGGGCTGCCGCCCTGAGCAGGTGGTGGCTGCAGCCCAGATCCAGAAGGGGCCTGGGACAGGGTGGGTATCGGGACTGGGGGAGGCCCCTCCCTGGCCTCGGAGTGTCTCAGGATGACCTCAACCCTGGCCTTGGGCCACAGCTGCCCTCTGACCCCAGAGCATGGGTGGATTCTCTCCGCAGGCCGGGCGCGGTGAGAGGCTGAGGCTGGAGGATCACTTGAGCCCAGGAGTTTGGGGTTGCTGTGAGCGAGGCTGAGGCCACAGCATCCTAGCCCAGGGCAACAGAGTGAGACTGTCTAAAAAAAAAGTGCTCTATAGGGTTCTGCCCCCATGACCCAAATCCCTCCCCAAAAGTCCCACCTCCGGACACTGTTGCATTGGCATTGAGTTTCCAGCACATGAATTTTGGGGGCCACATTCAGACCACAGCAGTAGTTACTCAGTCCTGTAGTACTATTCAGTATTCATAGTTCCTTGGTACCGTTAGTGTGTATTATTTAGCAATATCACCTAACTTAGCATCATTACCTGTGTGTCCAGACATGGGGTTGCTGGGCCCAGGGCCCTGCCGGGCAGCACAGCTGCCAGCAGACTGAGGGCATCCTGGCAACAGGAGACCCTTTGCAGGAACCACCTGACACCCTTCCCCAGGGTCAGTGCACAGGTGCTTCAGGGAGGACACGATTTCCCTGTCGGCACACGCCCCAGCCATGTGGAGCCTCTGCCCGAGGCCTCCCGGCTGACTGCCCTGGGCAAGCCGGGAGTGCTCAGACTGTCATGAGGAGGGGTGTCTGATAAGACCCTCCCAGCAGCAGGCAGCCCAGGTCCTGGGTACTGGTGGTCCCTTGGAAGTAGTGGGGGCCCCTTTGACCCACTCTGGCCTGGGCCAGCCAGGGCTGCTGCAAGCGAGCCTCCTGCAGGCGAGGCCTGACCTCCAGGCTCCAGGCTTCGAGGGAGGCATTAAATACAGAGACCAGCTGGGGGGTTATTTTTAATTCCTGGCTCCTGTTTGATGGTATCAGCACGCAGAGTGCTGGTCACCTGGGAGGCCACACTCCCTCCCACTGTGGCCCTGACCTGGAGTGTGGAGCCCCTCCCCGAACCCCTCTCCATGGCTGGGGAGAACACTTGGCTCCCAACTCCTGCTCTGGGTCCCCATCTTCCTCCCTCCTCACACCTGCTGGCCGGGCATCGTCCCCGTGGAAGGGCCAGACTGGGGCCTCCGGACCCAGTGGACGCTGACAGGATAGCGGGGCTGAGAGGACAGGCACGCACCTCTGAGGTGGCCCCCGCACCTAGAAGACCCTGTCACTTGGGGAGCATGCAAACACTTGGGTGAGAGGACAGGATTGGGGTCCTGGGAGGAAGTCTTGACCTCAGCCCTCACTCCCGCAAGCCGGCCACAGCCCTCCTTGCACCTGTTGTGTTCATTGCCTGCGTCTGCCTGGGGCCCTCAGGGACCCCTGCTTTCTACAGAATGGGGCCTGCCTATGGCTTGGCACTGAGACTCAGAGGGCTGGAGCGTGGGGGCTCTGCTGGGGGAGGCTGTGGGGTTGGGCCTGGGTCTGCCTGGACCGGACTTATCCCCTGCTGGTGCTGCTTTCCCGGGGTGTGCCACCGAGGAGTGCACAGCAGGGTGCCCCTGGCAGGTCCCCACGGGCTCTGGGCATGGACTTCGGGCACTCCCTGCACAGGGGACCACTGGAAAAGGTTCTGTCCAGGCCCACAGAGGGAGGGAGGTTCTGGGCTGGGTCCCCAGACTGGGCCTGTGGTGGTGGCTGGGTGGACGGGAACGCGGTGCAGGAGCGCCCTCAGAGCCCAGCAGCTTCCTTTGTTCACGGGCATTGGCCAGGGCAGGCCTCAAGGGGCAGTGGCACGGCAGACCAGGGGTGGGCCCAGGCCCTGGACCCCAGGCTCCCCCTGCCCGGGTCACCACCTGCTCCTGGGGCTACGATCCCTCCTTCCCTGCCCCCAGTTGCCAGCTTCCTGTCCTTGGTTTTTACCCCAGCCCCGGGGACCTCTTTTTATGTGGACAGCGTCTCTCCAGCCAGTGTGTCGGAGGAGCCTCTGTTACCCTCGCTCCCGTCCCCTGTTGCGTCTCTCCCATCCTCTCCCCATCTCTGTCCCTCCCTGCCTCGCGACTCCCTCTCCCTGCCCCCAGCTCTCCGCCCCCGCCCGCCGTCGCCGCCTGTTTTCCTCTCCCTGCCTGCGCCCCCCGCGCGTCTTTGTGGCCCGCTCCCCCGCTGCCTCCCGCGCCGCTGTCGCGCCTGCCCGCGCGCGTCCGTGGGTCCGCGGGCCCTGCACGCCTCGCGTGCCTCGCGTCCCCGCCCCCGGCCCCGCCCGCTCCCCCGCGGTACCGCATTGCCGTAGTGCAGGGGCGCAGTGCATTGCGCCCGCACCGTCAATAGGCGGACCCCCTCCTGGAGAGATAAAACCGCCGGCGCCGGCGCCGCCAGTCCCTCTGGCTGAGACCTCGGCTCCGGGTAAGGACGCTCGGCCTTGGGGTCCGCGTCCCCGGCCCCAGCTTTCCACAGAGGGTTCCCTCCCGGGCTCCGGTCCTGGGGGCAGAGCGGGCCGCCGAGCGCCTGGCGCGGCTGCGCTGCGAGGCTGGAGCATCGGCCGCCCCCCGCGCGCGCGCCCCGGACCTGCGCCGCCGGGTCGGTCCCCGCGGGCACCGGGGCTGGGGAGGGGGCGCCGCGACGCTTGTTTACGCGGCGGCGGCGGCGGGGGCCGGATCGCGGCCGGTGGCGGTCACCCTGCAGCTGTGACCTTGGGGCCGCCGGGGCCTGTGCGGTAGGGGCCCGGCAGTTAGCGCTGCAGGCTGAAGGGGGTCGGGCCTCGGGGGTGCCCGGGCGATGTGCCGGAGGAGGGCGGGGGAGGTGGTGAGATCTGGGGGTCCCTCGCCACCCCAGGGTGCGCATTCTGCGCTTTCCTCCGCGGCCCCCGTCGCCGCCTCCTGTGCTGCGTGGGTTTCTCCACCGACCTCCAGGATGGGACAGGGGCTGTGACCCGGGGCCTTGACCAGGAGGAAGGGGGAGGGGTATCCTGCGCCCCCCGCGGGGCTGAGGGCATCTCTGCCGCACTTGCGGAGCTTGGCTGGGGACACATCCTCCCGCTCCAGCCAGAACAGGGCCCCTGCTGTCCGCCCCTGCCCCGGTGGGGGGGCTCGAGCTATTCTGGGTCCCTAAGCTGGGTCCCATGTCGCCTGTCGAGCTGGTGCCAGCCTGCCGGGCAGGGGTGAGGGGAAGATGGCGCCGTCCCTGCCCGGAGGGGAGTGGGAGCTCGGGCCCTCTCCACGGCTGGCGGCGGCAGGTGGGGGTGGGGCGCAGTGTCCCTGGCCCAGGCTGGGGGGGGGGTGGGGAGCAGCACCGAGGACAGGCCTGGAGAGCCGGGCGGCGTGACTCATCACCCAGGCGCAGGCTGGCCCTGGCTCGGCTGCGGTGCCTCTCCAGATGGAGGTGAGCCCCTCCGAGGAGCGAGGAGCGGGCTCCGTGGGCACCAACGCCCAGACGCCGGCGGCAGATTGGGCCGCTGGCTAAAGTGTGGGTGCGGGGAGTGCCCGCCTGTGCTTGCCACCTGGCTCCGCAGCGCCAGGCCCCGGGTTGGGGGGCTCTTCCCGCCCCACCAAATGTGGGTCCAGGTCTGTGGGCAAGAATGAGCTCCCACCTGCGCCAGGGCCAGCTCTGTGGGCTCCCGGTCACCTCTCTCCCTCCACCCTGGTCCCACAGAAGCACCACTCAGCACCCCCGTCCTGAGCCAGAGCACCCCAGGTCCTGCCAGCCCCTCCGCACGCCGGGCAGCATGGGCAAGGAGAAGACCCACATCAACATTGTGGTCATCGGCCACGTGGACTCTGGCAAGTCCACCACGACAGGCCACCTCATCTACAAATGCGGGGGCATCGACAAGAGGACCATTGAGAAGTTTGAGAAGGAGGCAGCTGAGGTGAGTCCCAGGGGCCTCCGCTGTCCCCTCCCCCAGAGGGACTGGGTCCACTGGCGGCTGGGACCCCAGGTGTGCCTCGGTTTATCTCCCCCAGGGGAGCCTGCTGTGGGGGCACCTGTCTCGGGGCTCGGAGGGGACATGCAGCGTGGGGACCGGCGGGGCAGCCTCTCTCTGAGGGACACTCGTCGGGCAGCTGTGAGATTTGCCCCAGGTGGGGTGGTGGCACGGCCCGGGCGCTGTCTGCCAGATTCTCCAGGCTGGAGGCCCTTGAGCTGTTCCTTTGCCCCCAGGCTGGGCCGGGGCTGCAGGTGGTGCGGCCTTCGCTTGTCCCGGGGCCAGCGGGCACTCAGGGCTGCTATTAATAGCTGACTGGTGGGCAGCCCGCCCATCTGCTCCACTTGCTCCTGTGGGCTGGGAGGGCTTGTCCAGGCTGCCGCCCCGGACTGGGGTCCTGGCTGCCTGCTGAGCAGGAGAGGCGCCCTGGCTGGCCTCCTCCATGGCTGAGACCCGTGGGTCAGAAGGGGCCACGAATAGGGGTCTGCTCTCTGACCTCCCACCTCTGCCCTGAGCTCTTGGAGAAGCTGCCTTCTGGGAGAGCCCTGGCCCCTGGAGGTCAAGGGCAGAGGCCAGGACCCAGGAGGGGCAGTCACTGGCCTGGGCTGGACCCTTGCCCCAGTGAGGCTGGGGGTGCCCCAAGCCACACCCCTCCCACGGGTCCCTCTCTACCCAGCCTTGGGAGGAGGCCGAGGGGCTCAGAGGGCCACTGGTTCAGGTCCCAGCTGGGTCCTGTCTGGTCTGGCCTGGGAGGACAGAGGAGGACAGAGGAGGACACTTCCTGGAGGGCAGAGGCCGGTCCATGGGAGGCCCTGGCAGGGGCAGTGAGCATAGCTGTGGCCCTGACTGCAGCCTGGCCCAGACTCTAGGGCCTCACTCAGTGCTCCCCGGTACCCCGGTGCTTGCAGAGCAGCTGGCTTTGTTCCTGGGGGAGACCCCCAGCAGGAAGGGAGGAGGAACCTTTCAGAAACCAGGCCCTCCTCTAGACCTTATTTCATTTTTCTTTTTTTCCTTTCCCCGTTGAAAAAAAATAAGAATGCAGAGGGGTTATTTATTTACAGCCCCAAACCCAGCAGTAGCATGTGCCTCCAGCTGTGGAAGGGACCTGGGGTGGCCCCAGCTTCAGACTAGGGGTGACCCTGGCAGGGGACGGGGCTGGACCCTCCTGGGGGCTCCCAGGCCCTGGCGCCACCTGCTGGGGGACATGTGTGTCCACGCCCTCCTGGGGGTGCCTGGGCAGGTGCGTGGACAGCCCTGGGCAGGGCAGGGGCTGGGTGGACCCCAGCGGGGAGCAGGGGGGCATGGAGCCCGTCTCCTGCCTCCTGCCGGCCGCTCTGCAGCCACACGCGGCTCCCACGGCCCGGGGCCAGCCCCGGCCCCTGCTCTGAGCCGTGCCCCCCTTGCCCGCCAGATGGGGAAGGGCTCCTTCAAGTACGCCTGGGTGCTGGACAAGCTGAAGGCGGAGCGTGAGCGCGGCATCACCATCGACATCTCCCTCTGGAAGTTCGAGACCACCAAGTACTACATCACCATCATCGACGCCCCGGGCCACCGCGACTTCATCAAGAACATGATCACCGGCACCTCCCAGGTGGGCAGGGCCGGGGAGGGGGCCCCTCACCTTTGTAGCCCTCACCCCACTTGGCTCAGAGCCCCCCAAGAACAGACTCAGCGCTTGTGAGGACACCCAGCCACCGGCAGGGCCCCCAGACAGGGCAGCGTGGCAGGCTGAGCCCTCGAAGACTGGGGCCCTGGGGCCAGGTGGGGCAGTGGGATGTGGGTGGAGCAGATGGGGGGCATCTCAGGGCCCCCAGACAGGGCAGCGTGGCAGGCTGAGCCCTCGAAGACAGGGGCCCTGGGGCCAGGTGGGGCAGTGGGATGTGGGTGGAGCAGATGGGGGGCATCTCAGGGCCCCCAGACAGGGCATCGTGGCAGGCTGAGCCCTCGAAGACTGGGGCCCTGGGGCCAGGTGGGGCAGTGGGATGTGGGTGGAGCAGATGGGGGGCATCTCAGGGCCCCCAGCAGACAGATGGGGGACACAGCGTGTGTGGGCAGCAGGCCTGAGGCACAGCGGTGTCCCCTGTTCCTTGAGTTCCTCCTGCTCTCCAAGCTGCTTTTATACTCTGTCCTCCAGTGAGGGGCAGGGCCAGAGAGGCCAAGTGACTTTTCCAGGGACACACAGCCTGCCGGGGGGGTCTCCCTGGCCCAGGGCTTGGCGGATGAGTCCCCCACTACCCCTGGGTGGAGACCCCTCAGTCTCCATGCCCAGGGCAACTGCTCAGGCCCCCGTGTCCGCCTGGAGCGTCCTGGGCGCAGGGCCGAGGCTCACCGTGGCCCCTGCTGGGCAGGCGGACTGCGCGGTGCTGATCGTGGCGGCGGGCGTGGGCGAGTTCGAGGCGGGCATCTCCAAGAACGGGCAGACGCGCGAGCACGCACTGCTGGCCTACACGCTGGGCGTGAAGCAGCTCATCGTGGGCGTGAACAAGATGGACTCCACGGAGCCGGCGTACAGCGAGAAGCGCTACGACGAGATCGTGAAGGAGGTCAGCGCCTACATCAAGAAGATCGGCTACAACCCGGCCACCGTGCCCTTCGTGCCCATCTCAGGCTGGCACGGCGACAACATGCTGGAGCCCTCCCCCAACGTGAGTGCGCGGGGCGGGCGGGCGGGCGCCGAGACCCCCTCCCTGGGCCCGGGCCCTTCTCTGGCCAGGGACGCGGTGGCCTCAGGCTGGGCCCACTCGCGAGGTCCCAGAGTCCCGGGCGGGTTAGTTCTCACCTCCCCCCGCTGCTGTCCTGGCCCGGGACCCCGCGGGGGGCGGCAGGGCGGGGTGCCTCCCCAGGGTCCTCAGGGAAGTGCGTGGGCTCCTGCTCTGGCTGGGGCTAAGGGCCGGCTCTCCGCTGGGCGCTGAAGCTCGAGGCACGGGCAGCCGGGGCCAGGGACTGACTGGGCTGGAGGTGACCAGTGGGGACACTGGGGGACCTGAGGCCGTGTTCCCAGGGCTGTCAAGCCAGACGGGATTCCTGGCCCAGGTGGCCGGTTGGCTCCGGCCTGTGCTGCAGCTGCCCACCCTGAGGGGCGGCCGGGGAGACCGACCCGCAGGAGCCCGAGCCCCGTGGTTGGGGACCAAGCCGCAGGGACTGCTCCCAGCCGGCCTCCCTCTTGCCGGGCTGAGGGTTGTTTACCGAGGATCACACCTTCCCTCAGGGACCTGACACAGCAGATCCCCTCTGGGGAGCCTCCAGCCACCAGGGACCCCCAGCCCCGCCCTTCCCATTGGCCTGGCCTGCTGAGTGCGCCCCACCTGCCCGCCCAGGCTCAGGGGCCACCTGTTGGCAGGGGTGTCTGGGATTCAGCCCTGAAGACAAAGGCAGGATGCAGGGTGGCCCTGGGGGCGCGGTGCTGTGGCCCTGCCCTTCTTGCTGTTTGTAGGGGGTGGGCCAGGGAGGCTCTGTGCAGGGGTCTGCGTTGGGAGCAGCTCAGCAGCAAAAGGCCCAGCCTGGAGGTGGCCTGCTGGTCCTGCAGAGCTGCTGGGGCTGGGCCCAGGCTGGACTCTGACTCGGGCCTGGCCGTTGGCAGGACTCTGGCTGCTCCAGCTCCGGTCGCCTGCCCTGCCAGGGCTCTCGTGGTCCTGGGGGGTCCGTGCAGGGAGCGGGGCAGGCCTGGAGGCTCCGGGCAGGCCTGGGCCACGGTGGAGGCTTTGCTCCTCTTTGTGCCCCCAAGAGGTCTCCGTCCGACTGAGAGCCGGGGCGGCCGGGCAGGGCGAGTGCTTTTCTGCGACCCAAAGAGCACGAGGCGGTTTAGCCCGAACTGTCAGCTGCAGGCAGTGACGGGCTGGGCTGCCTCCCCGGGACCCCGCAGCCCACGCCTCCGCCAGGACACCTGGGGATCCCGGGAGGCCGAGGCCATGGCCGCAGGGCAGGGGTGGCCCTCGCGGTCTCCGGGTCTGACGAGTCTCCTCCCCTCTGCTCAGATGCCGTGGTTCAAAGGCTGGAAAGTGGAGCGCAAGGAAGGGAACGCCAGCGGCGTGTCCCTGCTGGAGGCCCTGGACACCATCCTGCCCCCCACGCGCCCCACGGACAAGCCCCTGCGCCTGCCGCTGCAGGACGTGTACAAGATCGGCGGTGAGTGACGGTGGGGGGGGGCTCACGCCTTGGGGGGGCTCCAGGCAGCCGTCCTCCACCCACCCAGCATTTGCCAGGGGCTTCCTCCCTCCAGGTGAGTGTCCAGCCCTGTGCCAGCAGCTGGTGGCACAAGGTGGGGGCCTAGAGGTGACTCCCATGTCCCCCCGAGGGCCCAGTCTCCCAGAGACACCGCCCCGCTGCAGGAATGAGAAACCATAAGCAAATATGAGGCCCCCAGAGAGCGGTACTGGGAGGGGACTCCCAGCCAGAGACGTGGGGCGTGTCTGAGTGCAGGGCGGGGTGCTCAGCCCAGCACAGAGAATGGCCACCGGACTTTCGTCCCCAAATGCCACACGAGCCTCCGTCACAGCCCAGGGAGACTGGGTGGAACTCCCATGCCCCAGGGCAGACGAGATGCACGGTTAGAAGCAGGTCCGTGACAGGTGCTGGGGCACCGACGGCCCCTCCAGTGACAGAGACCGAGCTCAGGGAGCCTCTGTGGGCAGGGCCACTGGGTAGCCTGGGCCACAGCTCACTGACGCTGCAGCCTCGGGGTCCCGAGGAGGGTCCCCATCGTGCTCCCTCCAGGGACAGCCACCCCTGGGGGCAGAGATGGGACTCCAAGTCGGGGCAGGCCCTCTCTGCCTCTGTCAGTTTCCCCTGGTGCCTAGGAGCTGTCACTTGTTGTCACCCTTATTTCCCCAGCTGGGCCGGAAGCCCCCACTTTTGCGGGAATCTGCCTTGTCCCCGGACGTCCTCTCCCCAAACTCCCTCCGCCTGGCTGTGCCCTCCCAGCCCTGCCCAGGAGGACCCCATCCAAGCTTTGTCAGACTCCAGGCCCCCTCCCCAAATATCCTTCCCCCATCCCCCGCCTGCCCCTCACAGCCCCTCCTCTCGGCCAGGCATCGGCACGGTGCCCGTGGGCCGGGTGGAGACGGGCATCCTGCGGCCGGGCATGGTGGTCACCTTTGCGCCCGTGAACATCACCACGGAGGTGAAGTCGGTGGAGATGCACCACGAGGCGCTGAGTGAGGCCCTGCCCGGCGACAATGTCGGCTTCAACGTGAAGAACGTGTCGGTCAAGGACATCCGCCGGGGCAACGTGTGCGGGGACAGCAAGTCCGACCCGCCACAGGAGGCCGCCCAGTTCACCTCCCAGGTGGGCGGCTGCACCGAGCCCGGCGGGCCCTGCCCCTGCAGGACAGCTGTCACCTGGTCCCCGGGAGGAAGCAGCCCCCATGTCAGGCCACGGGGCGCCGAGACCAGGGCTGGGACAGGCACCAGGCTCTGTGCACTCCTGAGTGTGCGGGTGCCAGGGCTGTCCTGAAAATCACGTGGGTCCCCTAACTGCCTGAGACAGCCCTGTGATGCTTCTATTCTCTCCGTTGTCCCTCGCACCCTCTTTGATCCCCTCTTCCTATGACTGTGATTCCTGTTTTGAGATGGGGTCTGGCTCTGTCACCCAGGCTGGAGTGCAGGTGTGTCATCACTGAGGTTCACTCTAACCTCAGACTCCTGGGCTCAAGGGATCCTCCCGCCTGGGCCTCCCCACGTGCTAGGATTGCAGGCATGTGGTACCATGGCCCAGCCTGACACTGATTTTCACAAACTGCTTTGAGATACAATTGAAATACAATAATTGAGGTGCAATTTGGTCACCTCCCACCCTCCCCACCTTAGCTCTGGCCAGTGCTGGCAGTGTGAGCGCTGCCTGTCAGGTGTTTATCCCTCGGGGATTGTCAAATGCTTAATGGGGACCCGGATCCCGGTCCGGGGCATGGGTCCCCACTGCCTGAGCCTCCTCCGCAGTTGGCACTCTGGGCCCCGAGACCAGAGCCTCCCAGCCCCGCTCCGGTGCCCTCCCGTGTGCCCACTGCGGCTGACGGTCACGTGCAACTCTGCCCCAGGTCATCATCCTGAACCACCCCGGGCAGATCAGCGCCGGCTACTCGCCGGTCATCGACTGCCACACGGCGCACATCGCCTGCAAGTTCGCGGAGCTGAAGGAGAAGATTGACCGGCGCTCCGGCAAGAAGCTGGAGGACAACCCCAAGTCCCTGAAGTCTGGGGATGCCGCCATCGTGGAGATGGTCCCCGGGAAGCCCATGTGTGTGGAGAGCTTCTCCCAGTACCCGCCTCTCGGTGAGCTAAGGGGTCCGGGGTGGTGCAGCCCCTGGGGGGCAGCTGATCCAGGCCAAGGGCAGAGGACTGCTGGGTGGCAGGGATGGGGGTGCTGGGTGACGAAAGTGGGACCTCCTCTATCATGGCAGCCTTTTCTGCTGAGCTTAGCCTTAGAGTGTAGCAGGAGACCCACGTCCTCCGTGTGCCTGAGCACAGGTGGCCCTGCTGGGGAGCCCTGGGGTGGCGTCCTCGCTGCAGTCCCCTTGAGTGACGAAGGCCCTCAGTGTAGTGGCTGAATTGGGATTGACCCGCCCCAAGTGTCCAACCCACAGACAGCTGCCCTGGGCGCCCATTGTCATCACTGCTAAAGGGGCGCACTCTGAGCGGTTTCTAACATCGTTTAATTCCGGCACTATCGCCTTGGGAGAGCCCTGTATGCTAGTCACGGGGCCACGGATGCAGGCAGGGCTTTGCAGCCGCAGCCACGGGAGCAGGCGCAGAGCTCGGCTGGGAAGGCTGGGCCCGCCAGGGAGGATGCGCGAGCGCCAGTGCGCCTGCGCGCTGCATCCTGCACCGCTGCGCTGCCGCGCCCAGCCCCGCGCCCCGCGTCCCCCATGCGCCCTGCGTCCCCCACGCGCCTTCTAGGAGCCTCCCAACCCCGAGCCTCGCGTCCCCCATCCCTGGGCCCCATGCCCCCAGGCACCCCCAACCCCTGTGCCGCGTGCCCCCATCCCTGGGCCCCGCGCCTCACGCGCCCCTCCCCGCAGGCCGCTTCGCCGTGCGCGACATGAGGCAGACGGTGGCCGTGGGCGTCATCAAGAACGTGGAGAAGAAGAGCGGCGGCGCCGGCAAGGTCACCAAGTCTGCGCAGAAGGCGCAGAAGGCGGGGAAGTGAAGCTCGGCCCCCACCGGCGGCGCCGCGCCCCGCCCCCGGCCCCGCCCCCGGCGCGGCCCCCGCGCCCCGCCCCCTCCGGCGCACGCCTGCACCTCCGCCTGCCCGGGCCCGCCGGTGCGCGACTGGATGCTCGCCATCAAGGTCCAGTGGAAGTTCTTCAAGAGGAAAGGCCCCGCCCCGGCTTCCCGGCGCCGCCGCGCTCAGTGCCCGTTTTGCCAATAAACTGAGCGACCCAGAGCCGTGTGCGCCTGTTGGGGAGTCGCGCGCGGGGGTCGCTGCGCGCCGCGCTCCAAACCCCTTCGGCATGGTGCCCTGCCGGGACCTGTCCTCCCGCTCCCGGGCCGGGCCGGGGCCGCACCGGAGCGCGGGGTCCGAGGCCCGGGGGCCTGCCCGCTGGAGGGTGGCCCGGGACAGACGCAGACCCTCAGGGCCGGGCTGAGCGTTGGGGGATCTCTTTGAGAACCGGATAAGAGTTCACCATGAGTGACGGTCCCACACACACACAGGGCCGCGGGGACCCTGTGACCTCGGAGCCTGGTCTTGCTCCCCGTCCCAAGCCGGTGTCCTGTGGCTGGAGCCAGCGCCCGTCCCTCCTCCTGCCCAGCCCAGCCCAGCTCTTCAGCACGGGGCGTGCAGGGTCTCCACCCTGGAAGCTGGGAGGCCGGAGGGCCTGGGGAGGTCTGGGCCAGCCCGTGCCCTGACCATGCCGCCAGGGCAGGCGCTGCAGGACGCTGCTTTGCACCCTCTCTGCTCCTGGGAAGGCCCCGGGCCCCGCCTGGTCTTCCTGCCGCAGACCACGCTGGGGGCGGGGTGAGCTGACCCCGGGGCTGCGCTCAGTGCTGAAGGTGAGGCCTCTCACCTGCAGCGGTGCGGGACTGCGGGGTCCTGCGGGCGCACTCAGGCTACTAGCGTCTTAGGGCTGCTGTGCCGATGACCACAAACACCATGGCTTCTGGGGGCCACTCAGAATCAGAATCACCCACCTGGCCTGGGGCTGTAGCTCACGCCTGTAATGCTAGCACTCTGGGAGGCCGAGGCGGGCTGATTGCTCAAGGTCAGGAGTTCGAAACCAGCCTGAGCAAGAGCCAGACCCTGTCTCTACTAAAAATAGAAAGAAATTAATTGGCCAACTAAAAATATAGAAAAAATTAGCCGGGCATGGTGGCGCATGCCTGTAGTCCCAGCTACTTGGGAGGCTGAGGAAGAAGGATTGCTTGAGCCCAGGAGTCTGAGGTTGCTGTGAGCTAGGCTGATGCCATGGCACTGTAGCCAGGGCAACAGAGTGAGACTCTGTCTCAAAAAAACCCCAGAATCACCGGCCCAAGTCGAGGTGTCCGCAGAGTCGTCCCTCTGGAGGCGGGAGGGGAGGGTGGGTCCCGGCCCCTCCCAGCTCCCAGGGCTGGTGGCAGGCATTCCTGGGCTTGTGGCCCCATCACTTCAGTCTCTGCCTCTGTGGTCACGTTGCTGGCTCCTCCTCCCTGGGTGTCAAGCCTCCCTCTTATGAGGATCCGTGTAGCCCAGGGTAATCTCCCCACCTCCCGTCCTTAACTGAATCTGCAAAATCCTTTCTTGCGACAGGAAGTCACATTCCCCGTTTCCAGGAATGAGGGCCTGATGTCCTGGGGGCACGGCGAGCCCACCGAGCTGGGAGAGGGTAGACTGAGGCAGTTCTGTGTCATGGCACTTCTGCCACCTAGGAGAGACGGGTGCCCTGGTTCCCGGGAGCCTTGGAGGGGCTGCTGGTATCTCCACCCAGTCCCAAACTGAGGGGCCCCAAAACCACCTGAAAGAGCAGGACAAGGAAGACTCGGAGCCAGGCCGCAGTGTGGTGGGAAGGGGGGTGCTGGCAGCCACAGGCCCATGCGGGAAAGGCGGACGGACGGCGTCAGGCCACCGAGCTCTCCAGAGAGGGCAGCGACTCAGCACGTGAAGATACCGGATGCCAGTCAAACCTGAGCCTTAGACAAACACCAAACAATTTTTTAGTGTAGAACACATGGGTCGCATTTACACTACAATGATACTCGTTCACCTGGTGGGCCTATGACCCTACCTAACGACACCAGGGGCTTCCAGGTGGACCTGCCAGCCCAGCCCAGCGCTTTCCTGGGGCACCGTCACTGATGCTTGGGACCGAGAGTGGCCCATTTAGAACTGGGGTCCAACTGGAGATATGTCAGCCTGAGATGGGTGAGAGTGGAAAACAGCCCCAGGAATCGCAGGAAGTCCCCTGGTCCCCCTTGGCGGAGGGGTCCCCCAACTCCAGACTCTGGCCTCCTTGGAACCCAGGTCACCCAGACCTGTGGGTGGGGCGAGGCCAGCCAGCTGCCCGGGTCTGCCCACCGGGCCTGCACGCTAGAGCCGCACTGCCCCCTCCAGCTGGGGCAGGGCCTGGAGGGCTCGAGGGCGGTTGGGAGCACTCCCGGCTGTCCCCAGAGTGCTAGATGTGTGGGCCGGGAGGGTGGGGTCTCCAGGGAGGGTCTCAGCCTTTGGCTCCCCTCCTGGGGTGGGGTGTCGAGGGCTGCCCAGCAGGGCTCCAGGCCTCACTGCACCCCTGGTGCACCGGTGGGGCCTGTGGGGGAGGGCTGGGTTTCCCACTGCCTGTGGGGGAGGGGCACCACATGCAATCAGGGCGCCAAGATTTTTCCACCGACCTCCATGGGGGGGGGGCCTGTCCTATGTCCAGTCCGGTGTCCGCTCTGGGTTGCAGCTGTGGCTTCCGGGGAGTTCCTGCAGCTGCCCACACTCAGGGTGGGAGGGGCTTCAGGTGGGCAGGTGGGCACTGACCTTACACCCACGTGAGAGAGGGAGGGGAGAGGGAGGTGCCCCATCAGGGACGGGGGGGGGGGGGGGAGTAGGAGGTGACAGGCAGAGCAGCAGGTGTTACTCCAGGCCAGCATCCTCACACCTGTGGTCTCAGGACCCCGTACAGGCTACATGTCCCCATTTGGAAATTGCAAATTAACAACGAGAAACGCTAAAAACACAAGCACACAGCACAAAGCATCGGCCTCTGGAGGCCGCTATAGAAGCAGGAATGAGAGCGAAGAGTCCTGGCATTGTCATGAAGATGGTTTTGACTCCAGGGCGTTCTGGAAGGTTTGGAGGACGCTGGGGTGGTGGGCGGCACTTTGTGAGCCTCTGCTCTAGGCGGCAGGGTGGGGGGCAAGCGTGCTGCAGGTCCAAGTTCTAGCTCTGATGCCTGGTGAGGAGTGATGGAGCAGGGGGTGTCTCTGTGCCTCGTTTTTCCTACAGTGAAAAGGTCAGATGGCACCTGCTGGGAGCCACCTTCCCAGGGGAGCACCTACCTTGGGGAGGGGGAGCATCTGCCCTGGGGGGGGACGATGGGGGGAGCACCTGCCTAGGGAGCATCTGCCCTGGAGGGGGAGCATCTGCCCTGGGGGGGGCGATGGAGGGAGCACCTGCCTAGGGAGCACCTGCCCTGGAGGGGGAGCACCTGCCCTGGAGGGGGAGCACCTGTCCTGGAGGGGGAGCACCTGCCCTGGGGGCATCCCCAGGATTAGGTGAGAGGATGCTTGTGTGGGAGGGTGTGCAGTGTCTGTGGTCGCTCTGCCTCTCCCACTGGCTATGTCTCCCTCTGGGAGCTGGACTTAAGCCGGGGCTGGGATGGAGGTGCAGTGGGGGGCGGGGGGCTTTCCCCACAGCAACCAGGCGGAGCTCTCTGTGGCTGAGGGCTGGCCCTCTGTGGCGTCAGCCCAGGGAGCCTGGTGGGCAGCCAGGACAGAGTCCCTGGGGAACTGGCACCCCCTGGCAGGGCTGAGGGCCCCAGAGGGCAGGTGGACTGGTGCTTGCACCCAGCTGGGGCACCGGGGCTGCTGTGTGGCCGGGGAGGACCCTGGCGCTCAGAGAGGTGGCCCTGCACACTGGGCTGGTGAATAATTTAAACAGGATCCACTAGGACACCCGACTGTCAGCTTCATCTGCACTTTGGGCCCTGCTGGAGCCAAAGGGCTGTGAGGCCCTGCTGAGCCGGCCGAATCTGATCCGTCCCCTGCCCTCGACTCCCCAGCACTCCCGCCCCGTCCCCCAGGTTCCCAGGGTGGTTGGACGGGCCGGTGCCCCGGTGGTGACAGTCCTGGGTCTGAGCAGTGGCTTCTGGGCTCCTTTCCAAGGGGCGGGGGCCTCGTAGCAGGTGAGGGCCCAGCGATGGGACTTGGGATTTCTCCAGTGCTGAGACTATGGGAGTGACTGCGCTGGTGGGTGACTGTGGGGGCCTTGGAGCAGGACTGCAGGCAGGGGGGGGGTCCGTAGGGTGCGTGCACCACTGTAGACTTGCATGTCTGTGTGAGTGGGCTTGTGCACGCCTCTGTGTGGCCATGCGGGGGCCAGGGGAGGACTTGGTGGGTGTCCTGGAGCCCTTGGAAGGGGGAGTGCATGTGTGTGCATGCACATCGGTGTGTGTGTGTGTACATCTGTGCATACATGTGCACCTGCCTGTGTGTGGGTGTGTTTTGGCTCTGCCTGTGCTGCCAGGAGTCAGGGCTGAGTCCCTGGGAGGTGGGCCCTGGGTACCTGGTCCCAGGCAGGGCCAGGACAGCTGTCCCTGTCTTGGAGCCACGCAGGAGAAGCCAGCGCAGGGGAAGGGTGGGGCTGGCAGGTGCATGAGCCTGGAGGCAGGTCCTGGCTGCTTAGGGAGAGCCCTTCCCCACAAGATGGGTCACCCGGGAGCCTGTGGTCTTGGACGTCTCCGAGGCCGGCTGGTTTCCTGGCTTCATTCTGCTCCTGCTGTCTCGACTTGGGGGTCAGCTGGGGGAGGGGTGGAAAGGGGCTGGACTGCGATGACCCCCAGCCAGGACAGGTGAGGCTGAGAAGACTTCCTCAGGGCCCAGGCTTGGATGTGGGTGCCCCAGGCAGGGGCGGGAGGAGAAGAGAGGATTGAGGCCCTGCTGGGTGCAGGTGGGAGGAAGGAAGCCTTTTCCCCAGCTGGGACCCCCTCCTGCATTGGCTCACTCCGCTCTGGGTTCGGGGAGGGCAGCCATTCCTAGGAGCCCCTGGGTCTCACTCGAGGGTCTCACAGGAGCAGGGAGTGTGGCTGGGGGCCGGGCTTGCATGGTGGGCCTGGAGGGGTTGGTGGGGGGGGACTGGCCTCCACTCTCTGGGCCTGTCTCCCCCAGGCCTCGGGGGTGCCGGCAGGTCTGAGAAGGGACCCTCTTCCTGCAGGCTTTCTGGAGGTGGGACGCTGCATGGGGGTCCTGGGCTGGGCTTGTGCCCGCTCC